GAGGACATAAATATGATATGCAGTTACGTTCGGTGGTCCTGGGAGCAGCAGTCACATTTCACCACCTGCAGTCCCCCACGCTGAGCACCGCTGTAGGATTACCGCTGGGTTATTTATAGGAGCCGCTGCCAAAATAACACCTCGCCGTCTGCCCGCATGCATGCAGGCATGCTCTCGAGCCAAGACGACGACTCGCTGCATGGAAAGGACATTCAGCTGATCTGAAAGCTTCCCAGCAACAACACACACATACACACACGTACGCACACACAGCCGTCCAGTGCGCTCCTGTACCAGGAGCTGTGGGAGCCCGCTGTGCTGTACTTGAATTTACCTCTGACTCCTTCTGCTGATCCTTGAACACATCTTTCCCTTTCGGCCTCTGTCTGTCGCCGTTATCGTTAAGGTTATTAATGATAGGTACCTCCATGTCCTCCGTCTGCATCTTTCACGGTCGGCTCGGCTCACTTCCTCCTCCGCGGATAGTGCATACCGGTCCGGTGGACAGCTCAAGACTGCACCGCGTCAGGAGGGGGGGGACCGACTCCGGAGAGCCAAGTTGAGGATCTCCTCCTCCTCCTGCTGCTGCTGTTGCGACTCCCCCCCTCCCGATATGTTTGATTCGCTGTCCCTGCTCGAACCGAGAGGGCGGAGTTAAATAGAGTCGCATCAGCTGACACATGGAACCAAAACGATGTCAGTGTACTAAAGTGGAGGTTGAATGGCTCAAAGTATTAGAAGCACCTACATCTTATAAAAATAACTGCTGCATCCCCTTTGCTGAGCTGCCACACAGTCTGCCGTCAGCTGTGATGTCACTGTCGCAGATCACTTCACGTGTGTGCATCTTCATTTGTCATTTCACCTCCTGTCACTTTCCCCTGTGAATTATTGATGTGTGGCTGTGAGGGGATTGTCCTGCAGACTGAAACACACACAGCCCCCTGACTGTGGAAAAACCACTTAAGATGACATGATTGGAGTGAACAGTTCAGAGCAGGCTTGTGCCACATGGCCTAGGGCAGTGGGGGAGGTGAGAGAGTTCAAGGTTAAATAGTAATTTGCTGGTGGTTAAATCCATCGCAGGCCAAGATCAGCAGACACAACACAGGAGCTACAAAAACACAGTGATGTGAGGAACTCTAGAGCAAGCCAGAGGAGCAGCGGGAACTTGTCTAAATGTAACTCAAGTACTCACTTTCAGAATTTTATGTGATTTCAGTTGATGGACGATTTTTTTTAGGAAGGCAAATTGGATTTATGAAAAACATTAACTGTTTAGTTTCATGGTAGCAGACAAACTGCAAAGTACCTACAGACAGTTTTCACAAGGACGAGGTTTCCTATTTTCTGTTATAAATTACAGGATAAAGTTCAGGTTTGGTCTAAAAACTATCCCAATGGTATCATCAGGGATAATTTCTCTTAAAGGTGGGTCAAGGCAGCTTCAAAAGGCCTGACTACAGACTGTATGTAAAAGATGGCAGCAGACAACAGTGGTGGATCTATTCACATGACAGATGTAACATTAAGTTGTTTGCTGTAGGGTTACGTGAATAAGGCGACCAGTTGGCAACTACTGATGTCTATTCTCCGGTTGGGAAATAGTTGCTTAAATAAATGTTAATAATGAGTCCTCATTGTGTATTACACTGGCATGAATGCAGTGTAGTAAGAAGCAGCGAGTTTCAGAGCCACCCCTGTGAAATTAATGGTGGCAGTCTGGTGACCTTGATAAAACCCGTCTGGCTCCACTGCTGTGCCCACTTCAGGCCACCCTCTTCCTCCACCTTAAACACTGCAGATTTGTCACAGTGACACTTCATATAAGAAACTAAGCTTACACATTACTGTTGTAGCACCCAAACCAAACCTCATTTTAAATGCTTCAAAAGAAACAAGCTGAAATAGAATGTAAATAGATTATAGTGTAACACACATACAATACGATTCTATTTAAAGTAATCTGCTCACATAAACTTGACTAATGTTTCTAGAATAAATAGAGGCTCAGAGCCAGCTCGGCTCAGCTGATGTCAGAGATGTCCCCGTCTGACTGCTGCTGGCTCAGATGAGCTCACTGTGGCTGTGACAGACCTCAGCAGCTGCACGCGTCTTCTTCTTCCACGGCACATAAATACAACTAGAAACCAATCCACGATGACACAACACAGGCTGCGACAAAAAAACCCCTCTGTATGTGAACACACTGGGTGACTGTGTATTAAATGTAGCAGAAATAAAGCAGCACACAAAGGAATAACTTTTTTTCCCCATTTTTTTATTCATTCAGATTACAGAATTTTGTCATTATTGCTCATCATCTAACATTATCACTTGCAATATTTAAACATAGGGTTTATTTTTTCTTTATTAGACAACTTAAAACATGTTGAATTTTTGTCAGTTTGAACAGTATGAGGATTTACAACAATAAATACAGGTGTCGATTCTTCTTTTACCTTCCTATACTTTTAAAGGTTGTCATATCTGCATATAGTATGTATATACATCTATGATGCTGGTGTCTTCCCCCGCCTACCCGGTCAGCAGAGCGCTGACGGAAAAACAAAACGGTTTCTCCACCCCTAACACACAGGCTAGGATCCTGAGGCAGCTGGTAACAAAGCAACTATGGCCTACAAAACAGAAAGGATGCTTACAAATACAGAGAGACATTTAGATGTGCACCGTCATCGTCGTCATCACGCTCGTTCACACACGCGCGCACAAAAGGAAGAAAAAAGACTTAAGACAAAAGGTTTAAGTACTACAGACAAGCAGTCAACAACATGAAGAGACGGATGAAAGGGACTCAGTATAGGAGTTTAACTAAAGGGTTCCCATATTGTTCTTATTTTTGCCTAAAACAAAAAAGGAACAGTTTTATTTATTTATTTGACCAAAATTTCAACAGATGCGTGAAACCTTGTCAAATAGGTAGTACAAGCCCTCTCAGGAACCCTTCAAAATAAATCCTGAACTACTTGATTAAACTGACCTGCAAAAGCATACTTATTCAACTGGTAAACAAAGTTTTTTTGTGCCACTCCCACCTTTTCAAAAAATAAAACTTTTACTGTTACCTTTCATATCTAGTACGATACAGTAAACTTTCAGACTTGGGTAATGAGCCACTCTGTGTGCGTTTGATCCTAGTGTGTGAAAGCAGAGCTGGCGGCGTCTCGCAGCACGCCAGAAGAGATTGTGATCGGTTCAGGTGCAGAGCCGGTGTGGCGGCGGGGTACACTTCAGGTGAAATCACTGTCAGGGCTTTTCTAATTTCAAATGTCAGCTCAGCTGGGGACGAGCTGCAGTGGATGGCGACTGTGCAGCTCATTACAGCCATAAGAAAGACAGACAAAGAAAGAAAGCGCCTTCCGGGTGGGAGAAAAGGCGGAAATGGACCTGAAAGGCTAGTGCACGTCAGAGATGTCGTGTGCGTGCAGTCTTTCATTTGTAAGCTCAACTCATCTGTGAGTACCAAAGAGTTGTGTCATCTGATTATGGCAAATACAGTAATTCTTAACAGCACCATGTGTTTTACTGAGGACCTGACAGAAGAAATCTGCTTAATGGGACAGCTCACCTCACAGTCATTTATTAAATAGATTTTCCTGGCATTTAGTGTTATTTTATCCACAATGTACACTGCACAGATAGAGATGTATGCTGTAGAGGCGTCTGCCTTCTCTTAAATATAATGGAAGTAAGTGGGGTTTCGCTTAAAGCGGTAACTCAAAAATACTGTTGGCCTTCTAGTAGATGCAACTATGGTATCAAGTTAAAAATCATACATCGTTTCATTCTCGAGTTATCACATTCACAAACCTGGGTGTCTACGCCGCCTGCCCAGCAGGGTGTGGGTAAAAATCTCATCTTGTTATTGGAGGTTTCAGGTAGGAACTATTTTCTTTCTTCTGTCTACATCAGCCAAACAAACAGCTCAGGGGACGGGGGACACCCATTAGTGTTCACACCCTGTCACAAAAATAAGCGTTATGAGTGAGAGGGTTGTTGTAATTCAGCAGGAAGGAAACAGTTCCTACATGAAGCTGCTCACAATATTTGGGTGGAGTTTTGTTCCTTTATCTTGAATAGCTGGAGCATAATTTTGCGAAAGTGACACTGCTACCTAGTTTCAGATCGATTTTTTTTAATGCTCCAAGAACCAGAAGAGAAGATAATGCTTTTTAGTTCCATGACGTTCAAGAGAAGGCAGATCCAAACAAAGCTACAACCTACATTTGAAAGAAAACAAACAAACAAACTAACTACATTTGATTTTTGAGGTGAGCTGCTCCTTTACGTACCAGGGTGGCTGCTGTTTGGTATTTCTGTAAATATTTTCTCACAGTATTTAAAACGAGAGTTCGAGTATATTTATTACACGCATCATTAGAACATCATACTGCAATGATATTAGAGGAGAGGAAATAAACGAAAGATAGAAAAATCTTTTCTTTATAAACATCTAAATACACAGTATACCCTCGTGATGATCCAAAAGCCTGCCATGCTTCTACTACAGTATTCTTGTTTAAGTGAAGGACCAAATAAAAATACTTTTCATTACTTCAACACTGGCGTCGCTAGAGCGGGTGAGAAAGAAGAGCAGCGAATGAGATGGTTTCACTGTGGGTTTGAGTGACAGGTGTTTGGGTGAGGGGCTGGCGGGGGTCACCCTCCAGTCATGTTTTAAAAAAACAAAGGAAGAAAGAAAAACTACAGGGTGACCCGTAGTGACATAAGAGCGTAATAAGAAAAAAAGCTTAAAAACAAACAATTCGCAATCAAATAAAACGATATGATTGGACCCTGAGACCCCCGCCTAAACCCTCAGTCTAGCCCCACCTGTCCCACCCCAATAATACACAAAAAAAGAGAAGAAAAAAAAAATCACAAGTAGAAAAGAAAAGATGACAAAAATAAGGGACAGGAAAAATTGTCCGACACAAGATAAATCTTCAAAGGTGGTCTTCATTCACACAGTTTTTTTGTTTTTTTAAATCAAGATTTTTTTTTAATATAGTATATATCTTTAGCTTCAGTAATTTCATATTTAACAGATAAACGATAAAAGATCTGGCAACGTGGAAGGGAGGATGGAGGTTTACATACGACTCGACATACAAATGAGCGTCTGAAGAGGACCAGGTGGAAATGATGTAAAGACGAGTGAGCGGGAGACGGGGTTTGGGAGCTAGCTCGAGGTCAATGGCAGGAGCAGCTCCGAGGTGTAGTTAATGTTATTATTGTTATTATTACTGTTATCAGGCGGGGGATAAATAAAACGACTGCCATAAGCAGGGAAAGCCACGCCCCTCCCCTCCCCCACCCTGCAGGCTCGTTCAGAGCTCCGCCCCCTTCTCCCTTACATATAAAGCAGGTGTATTGGCTGTTGTGTCCTCCCTCCTGTCCTCCGCTACCAGTCTGTATGATTCACGGAGTTCTTCTTCCCACAACACTTGGCTAATACCTTAAAAACAAAGAACATACATGTTAGCAGCTGTCGGAGCAACTGAACTGACTGTGGCGGAAACAAGCAGGTTAAACTGATGTACAGGTGTCAAAGGAAGAAATCAAAATCATTTTGGATAAACCAAATGCAAATTTAAATGATAATATATACCCAAATATATCTAAAAACCAAACTTTGTTGTTAATCTGATGCTTTTCATTACAGTTCTGCACAGACGAGGAGAGTCGAGTGAAGCAGCTCCTTCAGGCTGACAGACAACCATGGCCTCACCTAATGGTTTAACAAATGTCCATCCACAGCAGCCTGAGACTGCATCCATGCACCAAAACTACATTTATCGAACCCCTTGATCTGGATTATTATCCTCAAAACTTTAAAATGACGTCTCCATATTTTTTGTCTTCTTTTAATTTGATATACATTTGTGAAGATGTGACGGGATGTGAGTGTTGAAATTTGCACATTTGCCTAACAAACAAAAGCTCTCCGGTTTGATCTTGGGAGGAAATGCAAAATGCCACTTTATCCTTCAACGGTAAAGATTCCTTCTAGATAATCCTGGATTCAATTACGGATCCAGATCAACTTTAAATTTTCCTCTTTCAGTTTAGCCATGCCCTACTTGTTAGGGTTTGGGGGGATCGACTGAAATTGTGATAGCGTCCACAGCAATGCTGGTATTAGCAGTGGCTAATACTACCAGGATAGGAGTGATGCTTTTGTTTGTCTCCTATAAGCCCAATGCACTCCATACGGACACACTTGGCTCCGCCCCCTCCTCCCTACTCTGCTGTATTTAGTAGGCGGTAAATGAAAACACTGGAAGCAGTGATGCGAGTTGAAGGGAAATTCTCTACTTTGGCAACACCACCAACTTATTTGAATACATGAAAGATCACAAAACAGAAACAGCTTCTTCCTGGAATGAGCAGCAAAAGAAACAATGAGGAGGAAGAAATGCCTTCAGACAGATCCAGTGAACGTAATGTTTCAGTCATGATGATGATTCATCTCTTATTAATGTCACACAGCTATCCTCAACATAAGATCCCATTATAAGTCAAAAATACCAGTATCTTTACTTTGTATCAGGAATACTGGCTCTGCATTTTCGTCGCATTGGGCGGATACCGTATCACACATCACTACTACACAGCATCAGTCCAGCGACGCTGCTCTTTACTTGCAAATTTGTGTTTACGTTGAAATGGACCATGACCTGAACAGTAAGCGCGACACAGAAGTTTAGGTTCTGAGTCTATATGGAGCTGGTAGACAAAACACCTGCATGTATTAATCTCCCAAGATAACCAACCTCTTGCTCAAAACAAAGCATGGCTGTAGTGGTGCGATACCTGGTGGCTGCTGTAGCTCATTAACATTCAGACCTAAAGTCGCTTGGTGAAAAGGATGATTAGAAAGCTAAACCCACCAGTATTCAACAGGGTCTTTGAAAGGATTTAGCTTTAATAAGAGGGTGTGGTACACTATGTCAATTTAATAACAAGTACATACACACGGGATCATTATTTGAATTACGGGATTATATGTCAGCCACTCAAAACAGTGCAAGTGCGCTGAGGTGTTTGCTTACCTATAGTAATTTGGCTTAAAGGGCCCGTTCTTGTTTAAGCCCAGGTACTTGGCCTGCTCGTCACTCAGCTCTGTAAGATGCGCATCAAATGTTGGGAGATGCAGGCTGGCCACATACTCATCTGAAGGGCAAGAGAGAGAGAACGTGCTTACATTCACCAGGCGTCCATGTTTGATTAATCATTTAAATGAGAACAGGAAGTAGCAGGATTTCCCAGCTGTTTTCTTCTGCAGTGATAACCGTCTTCCTTTTTCCCCTTTCTCTGACTTCATTCTTCTCTTCCTTATCCGAACCCGGCCCTCTCCCACCTCTGTGTCAGTGTGTGTTGTGATAACAGTGGCAGTTGCTTACAGACCGACCTACATTCTTCTCCTTGTTTTTCTCTTTACGATATGTGCGCTCTGCTCTCAGCCTCTGAGAGACGGCTCAGAGATGTGACAAGCGGCAGACATGCACACATGTGTCTACAGATACACAGGATTCACTCTGCTGTGAGTGATTTGCTATCCGGGGAGACGACTCTGGACTGAACAGATGAGTCTGTCTGCAGAGATAAATGTAGTCTGTCTGCAGGGCTTCTAACATGCTGTAATCACATCCTGTACATCCACGTAGATGGTATTTGTTACACAAGAGGTTTTTATGTGTTCTGATATCAAAGTGGACTCTAAATCATAAAAAACTACTACGATAAAGTCCAAAATAATTCGTATTTATCTCACACTGGGGTTAGGCACAGCCCTGCAGTTCATCTTCATCATCCCCTTGAAGACAGAAGGTTTGAACAACAAGTTGGTGGAGCTTTTGCCTAAAACCTAAGAGCCTGACTGAAATTACTTGAATGCCAAAGTCGTTATTTGAAATGTTTAACACAAACATCCACTACTTTAACACATCCAGAAATGATGGTACTCTTACCCATCTTCTTGGGCAGCAGGTAAACATCCTGTTTGTACCGTCCTTCGGGGGCATTGTAAAGCTCTATCAGTGCCAGTGCCTGGACAGATCCACACACACATAAACGCAGCAATGCAAAGTGTAACAAGCCAAACATATGCGACAATATAAATGAGACAAATTGATCCACAGCTCTACCTGAGTGGTGGCAGTGATTGAGAGAACGAAAGTGGGCACAGTGGAACAGCTGAGGTTCAGCAGACGACCCTGGACAGGAGGGAAAAAACAAAACAAAAACAACAACACAAGGTTAGAGTACAAGTCAAAAATACACACGCAGGCTCGCGCCTTTGTGTAAAAATGTACCTTTTGGGCGGCATCATGAAAAGGAATCAATAAACTCAGATCTCGGTGTCCCTCAACAAATCGACTGTGTATCAGCTGTGTAACGCGGCAGTCAGTCCTGTTAATGAATGAAACTGCTGTGCATTAGCTTACTGATGAAGACAGATGTTGCTAACTATGCACCGAGTGGCCATCCCTCTGAAACTGAAAAGCTACACGAAGAGAGGGGAACAGACTGCCGTTCAACTGTTGTTGCTGGATGATGAAAGCAGAACAGAAACTCCACACAGGGGTTTAATTTGCTGTACACACTGAAGTTCACACACACGCTGCTCGCTAGTGCTGTGTGCATTTTCACACGATAAAGCAGCTGTCTGTGAACCATCTTACAGCTTAATAATGCTCATAAATATGACATAAATGCCTGAGTGTGCATTATTACACTGGGACACAAAAAGGGAACAAAAAAATAACTTCTTTTTTTGGACAGAGCCACCATTTAAATAAACTTTAAACGTCCAAATGTTAGCTGTACTAAAAGATCAGATGTTGTTTTGTATAGTTAAACTGAATGGCATTTTTGGAGCAATGTTCTATTTTAAGGATCAGAACAGAGTGATCTGGAGGCAGGTGAGGTGAGGATGGAGGCGCAAATCTACTGATGTGGTTAAAACTTCTGCAGATCAAACAGCCTCAGAGAGGCAGGCATTGACAGGCTGGCAGTTTGCCTGTCTGGCCCTGTTGGACTGCTCTCATTCTGTCACATACGCACAAACACCTCATCTTATCCTAAAATATTCATGATCAGGGGGTGAGTGTGTGCATATTACTGCAAGTAAAGTTGCAAAAAAGTTTGCAGGGTAAGGATCCTGTTTATGTGTTTATTCCATAACAACTTGCACTACATTACAAAAGAATATTTTAAATGATGATTAATCAACCAATTATTAAATATGAGAGGATAACTGCCAAAGAGGTTTCCAAAGTGATTAAATCAGAGGAGAAAATAGGATGAATAAACTCGCCTAAAAGCAAAAATATGCCCTGAAAGCAGTCGAACTTGAAGATAATTTAACGGATGTGGTTAAACATCGTCTGTGTAAACGTCTACTGTATTTAATCCTTTAAAATTATTTTCTTAAACATTGTCATGGCAGTGGGCCCATTTTACAAAGTGCTCTTTAAATGGCCATAAACCCAATACAGTTTGTGACTCTGATGACAAACCTTACGGGGATATTTGTGGTATCAAAGCAGAAGAAAGCATTCACAAGGTTCTGCTGTCTGAACACAGACAACTTGGTGTTTTAGGCATAAATTTGGACACGTTATTCGATTATTTTGCCTGCTAACATTAATGCATTATGTACTGCTCTGTTTGAGTGGCTGTTTGCCTGCAAGTTATAGTCTACATACAAAGTAATGCAGAACAGCACTAGCTAGGGGGCTCTCTGTCTTACAAAAGAACTCCTGACTTCCAGTTACATAAAGAGGTGCTTAAGAGAATGAAAGAATGAAAAGTGGAATATCCAGCTCTCTAAATAAAGTAAAAGTTTTCTTCTAGGATTTTACATTCTGTTTTTGCATCGCAACACCATGAATCACTTTATGGCAACCATTTATTTAAATATGGACATATTATCAACATCATCACACCAAAAATGTCTAGTTGCCTGTTGTTGTACCCCGGACTGAACTGATGCCAATTAGACACCAGGATTAGAAGGAAGACGCATGGCTGGGTGTGTTTACCTCTGCCAGCAGGACTATCCTCTTTCCATCAGGCCAGATTACGTGGTCCACCTGAGAGCGCACTCTCTCCCAGGTGAGTTCAGGAGTCCGCAGACTTGCCTATAAGGAAGAAACGACATCATCGGTTATTTGTATTTGGCTGTTTGCTCTATGACATCTCATCACGAGTCATATGTTGACTGAGCACGCTTCATTTCCAGGACTGGAGTGACTCAGAGCTTCCTTTCATATGAACCATTTCCTTTGTCCATCACCCATTGTTATTACTGATTTTAAAACATCCTCACGTTGCCCTTTGTTCCCATTTCTAAACACTTCTGTACAATCTTTAATGACCAGAAAGCTTTATTAGCCTGTTACAGACTGATAAAGGTACTAACAGTAGGGTTAAAGTGTGCATCCGGTGTCTGCAAGTACAAAAGTTTCACAAGACATTTTGAGACCTTTATTATCATTTTATATGAGGTGTAGATTGGAATGTTTAAAGCACACCCATAATAAATATGAAAATATGATTTTTGTGTTAACTGGTTGAAATGAACAATAAGTCAAAATGAAAAAAGGAAATAAAAGTTTCAACAAGCAGTGCAGTTTGCTTTGCAAGCACCAAGCTTTAAACACCAGCAGTAATCTTGTTAACGCCACGTCCAGCCATCTCTCATTAAACTTATCTTTCCATTCCAGCAGACTTATCGCACAGACTGGCTAGCCTCTTGATTTTTATCTTCACAATTTCCACAAGTGTACTGTAAACTCTAAATGAATGACCTGAAAAGATTCCGTAAACAACAGGGAAACTTATAATAACTTAAGGTTAAGGCAACAAATTAATCTCGTTTTGCTGCTACACACTTGAAACAGGCTTAAAGCATCATTGGAACATTAAGGAAGTAAAAAAGAAAGCTGCACATGTGACATCCATCCACTATTTGTTGTTAACATTAGCCTAAACCGCTCATCTCTGTATATGAAGATGATTAAGCGTCTTTCTGAAGTGTTCTGCTGGTACAGCCTTTTGTACTGAAGCAAATATCTTAAACATGCAGCTGCACAGGTTGATTTCATTGTCTACATGGGTCAAAGATAGTTACACTGTGTGGTGCAAGTTCTTGCATGCATGTGACTGGTGATACTTAATGATTTATTTTTATGGGTTTTTTTATTGGTAAATGTGTATTTCAAAGACAAAGATTCATGGCTGCCCTGGATAAAAGCTTAACAATCTTTATGGTTTGAAAGCTTGTAAAGGTCTGCTAGTTTTTGCATTACGTAACCAAAGAAAGGCTAGTGGCAGCTCCATATTTTTCCTGTTTTTCTAGGAAACTAACTATCCATCTGTCAGTCTTGTTTATTTCTGAGTGTAACAGCAGGTTATAGATCAGACCTTTTACTGACGCCACACTTACTCAAGTCTACGTCAACTGCTACCATGACAACAATGAGCAATCACTGCCCCAGGTCAAGCTTTACAGATGTGAGGACATTTAACAGGGGAGCAGAAATCTTTTACAGTCTCGATCGAGTAGTTCAGTCTTCCAAAATGATAACTAGTGGCAGTGTTTTAGCACGTCTAAATCTGATGAGATGACTACAATTTAGACCTCGTGCAAACTGGCAACTGACCACATCGATCTCAGTGTTGGAATGTCCCATGTTGCAGACGATGCAGCCGTTCTTCATGCGGTCGAGGTTCTCTCTCACCACAACGTTCTTATTGCCTGATGAGGGGAGAGGACACAAAGAACAGAGAGAAACGTTGAGGAAGCAAAAATCTCCAGAGGAAGGAAAGAGGCTCGGCTGTACGTGAGGTTTTAATCAAATACGACGCTGTAAAGGGACTGAACAGGTTTTCTGAAATCTATGTACTGGGGGGAAAAGAAGGAGGATTGCCCTTATCGCGCATGATTTAATTACTTATCGCACGACTTGAACAAAGTTAATTAGGGAATGTAATTTAGTTTAGAGTCTCACCTGTCTACATAGAGCATTTTAAATGGTTTTGTATTTATCTATTTAGATCAAAACAAGCTAAAGTCTTTTACTAAGCAATAAAAAACAGATGTGATAGAGGTGAATAAAAACCAAACAAAGAGATTGCTGTGTGTATGTGTGAGATAAGAGTTATGACAGCGTGTTTTAATATATTTGTTTCTTTTATTTCACAACACTCTTGAACTTTATTGAGGCCACAAATCCTTTTATTATCTTTGCTGTTATCTTTGCCATTTCCACCTAAGGACAGACCTCTGCAGCTCGCCTGCCAGCAGCACCGACTAATGAAGCTGAGAGGGCAAGTAATTCTCTGCTTCAAGCGCTCAACTTGCTGGCTGCTGAGTTAAGAACTTTATTAGTAGCTGCTGCAGACTGATTACAAGGACTTATTATCCGTTTAGGCACCCTGAATGAATGATACCAGGGACTGCTTTATGTTTTGTATCCTCCTAACATGCAACATCTAAGCTGGATTTCTCTTTGCATTGTGTTTCTTCTTGTCAGCTAAGGACAGAGGCTGAACCAACCTGTGCAGGTAATGACGATATCCACTTGTCTGATGACTTCGGTGAGTTTCACCAGCCTGAAGCCGTCCATGCTACGGTTGGTTAAAGAAAGTGTGTAAGATGAATGCAGCATCAACGGCAACAAAGGAAGAACAAGAGCTGAAGAAGTCTCACCAGGCCTGCAAGGCACAGATGGGGTCGATCTCTGTGACGTAGACGATGGAGCCCATTGCTTTGAGGGCAGCGCAGCAGCCTTTTCCAACCTGAGGAGAGAAAAAAAAAAAAAGTACAAATGGAGTTAACACAAAGGACATAAACCCATATCACATGCAGAAACTGTCCATGATGCTTCTGTTTGAGTGAATGTAGAGTGTTAAGTGTGCACACTATTTCACTATTTAGAAAAAGAACTGAAAACGACGTGTTTCTTAATCAACCAGTCACACAATAGGAGCCACGTGGAAGCAACAAGGATCAAACCACCTATTTTGTAGTACTGCTGTCCATTTAGTGTGACTCAGTAGTAATATATTATATCAAATAAATACCAGTACGTCCTACTTGACTGGGTTGCATTTGTCAGTATGCAGGCCACAATTTGACCCCAAATCCTCTGAAGAGGACAGATTACTTACGCCATGACAAAGCACTAACATAGGAGTAATTTGAAGTAATCGTTTTACCATTTTAAAACCTCATACATTTTAATTTTACTCGAAGTCCTCTGTTACACACAAAAAGGTCAAAACTAAGGGCTATGTTTTGAAGCGTGTTCCAGTTTAATAGCAACTACGGTACACAGCGTTGACCACAAGGCGCACTTAGAATTCATTCAATCGTGTCTCAGTATGTTAAACACTTGGGTTCAAAGAAAAGACCTCCTACTGTACACTGACACATTAGCCCCGTTAGGTTTTAATTTAAACCTGAAGCACAGACAGACAGACAGACAGACAGACAGACAGAAAGAAAGAAAAAGGTTTAAAGAAATTTATGTACTTTTTTAAAAATCCACAGCAGCTGGCCTCTGCTACCATCACTTGGATGTTCTATTAACACAAAACTCTCTGGTGGCTTGTTCTGTATTAATCAAGTTCAAGCCAGCCTTTTACAAATTTAATTGCCACGGCCTTAGCAAAACCCCATCCTTACTTAGATGCCTCAAAAAGGCAGACAACAATTATCTAACTTGTCGTGCTACATTGAAATCTGTTCATGTGCATAAGCAAACTCACAGGAGACAGGACAAGGCTTCAGTGTTTGCATCACTGTGTGAACAAGAAAGGTGCGTGACGAGGACTGTGGCCTTACCTCTCCATATCCACACACCACCACCTGTTTGCCTCCAAACATGACATCAGTAGTCCTCTTCAGGCTGAGGACAGAAACACTGTTATAACACACAGGCGACCTAATATTTATTCACACTGTTTGGAGCAGAGTGGATGCGGGTGTATACACCTTGCAGCAATGCATGTTATTAGAAACAAAAAACTTGGCCTGTTTTATAATTCTAACAAGGTTCAACAGGAGAGCATTTCCTACCCGTCTAAGATGGACTCTCTGCAGCAGTACAGGTTGTCAAATTTCTGCTTGGTGACTGAATCGTTGACATTCATGGCTGGAACGCAGAGTTTCCCGGCCTTGGACAGCTGATATAACCTGCACACACAAACACACACACACAAAAAAACATTTAAACTTTACATCAGAATACAATCATGTCTCTTAATTCAATGACTGGAAGAAAGGTGGCAAATTAATCCTGACAGGAGAAGCTGCTGCTTAAATCTTTGAAAGGATTTGTTTTATCATTTAGATTTAACTGATGTGTTTCTATTTGCGCAAATCAAGTTGAAATTTTGCTACCATGCCACAAATATACAGTGGAGAACATATTCACCACTAGATGGTGACGTTGGCACACCACAGATTATGTAAACACTTCTTCAGTGAGAAATAAATACACAAACCAGCACATTAACAGACACATTTACAGCACCTGGTTTTATCTACCTAAAGGTGGAATGTCTCATTCATCTGGAGGTAGATGCTGTACTCCTCATCTAAACAAATAACCCCCTCCCACTGGGGCTCAATCACAAGCTCAACCCTAAAATTCATTGACATGCATCTCCAAGACGACTGCACTAATAATGGGCTAGCTGGTTAGCGCATTCATGCTTACACAGCATGAATGCATATTTCTCATAGCTGTGATTTAAAAAACAAAACACCAAACAAACAAGATCAGCATTAAATATTATCACACAGACCACATGTAAGCACAAAACCCCAGCATGCCAAACTAGTGAGAGCAGGTTGTTCGGACGTTTTTTCTCTCTCTATAGGACGACTATAGAGCTGCCTGCAGGCACCATCCTTTCCCCGGTGAAGCTGGAGCCAGAACCCAGGGCAACCTGCTGCTGCGGCTGCTGGCGCAGAGGAGCCCACCGACAGATGGGGAGTCTTTGGATGAAACAAAGATGCAAGGAAGGCTTCTTGCACAACATTCTCCCATGAAAACGAGCTAAAATCAAAAACCTCATCAATTCCTCTGAATCCAGTTTTTTGGGATCAACCCTATTTTGGCTAAACAGGGAGTGTTTGCACGTGCAAAACAAATGCAAGCCTTTTTTCTAATGTCAACCGTCGACTCTGAAAACCTGTGCAGGCCTCCTTTTCCAAACTCAGAGGGGACTGACCCAGAATTAATAAGTGGAACTGATGAAGACATCAATAGAATTGTATTAATTTCTATATTTTGTTAGTAACAGAGAGAGGTGCAGGCTCTTACACCTGCTCTACAAGCTGGACGGTTTTCCTCTGAATCCACTCAGGAAAACGTGCAGACACTCTCAGGCTATGGTTCTCCTGTGTGTGACCGAACACTCCTTGCTCCAAGTCGGCTTAAACGTTGTGTGAATTGGTCAGAATCACATCTCCCCACAACATGTACAAACACCTGATTTGACTTCAGTACACATACAGAACGGACAACCAGTGGACCATAAAGGGATCTCTGCTGAACTTAACAAGTGTGTTGAATCAGAACGGATCAATCGACGTTTATGACACACACACACACAAAAACAAAAAAAAACTAAACTAAAAAGACACCACGTCCTACCTGTGCACACCAGTAACGCTCTCCTCTACTATGCCCTTGATCTTCTTGAACATGCTGGGATATTTTTTATAAATCCAGTGAGTCAGGTCACCACCGTCATCCAAGATCTGACGAGAAATCAGAAAGATAAGTTTTCTATGTTTGAATATGCAGAATAAATTATCTGATATAATGAATGCCCCTTTCTTCACTTCTAGCCACATTTGTAGACAATCATCACGTAAAAATACATTTAAAAACCTACTACACAACAGATGAATGGCCTACCAATGATTGATGTTTGATGTAAAAACCACAGAGGCAACTTTTCTGTAATAAGCTTTATTTAGATATGTAAGGGTGCTACCATGTTGGGCTGCCAGCCTTCCACATTGACACAGCGGTCGATGCACCACCAGAAGTCGTCCTCTGATTCTCCCTTCCACGCAAATACACTGAAACCTACAAAGAGAGGAAGCGTTGAATGCATATTGCATACGAGTGTATGAATAACAATGGATGTGAGCATGATGGGAAAAGCGAGCGCATTAATATTTTAGGCGGCAAAAAAGAGAGAAGAAAAGGTCAGGTGTCACCACATGGGAACGCTGAGCCTCACCTCCCTCTGCCAGGGCAGCTGCCACCTCATTCTGGGTGGAGTAGATGTTGCATGCTGCCCATCTGCACTGAGCGCCCAGAGCTGACAGAGTCTCCATCAGCACCTTGGGAGAAGACGAGGGTCAAGTTTGAGTTTTCGTCATGGCAGAAGAGAAAAATAAACAAACAAGTGTGTGTGAGTGTTTTGCACTGCTACTACTTACAGCAGTCTGGGCAGTGATGTGGGTGCAGCCCACAATCTTGGCACCAGCGAGGGGTTTTTCCCCCTGGGCTCGCTTCCTCAGAGCCATCAGTGCTGGCATCTCTGAAAGAAAAGGAAACACACACATACACACAAATACACATAAGTGGATATACAGGATTGATCTGGATGATTAAGGAATTCCCATCATTTAATCCTCCTAATACTTCAAAACTAATCCATCGCCTCGTGCGGTGGAGTAGCTCGATGAGCGAGGCTCTCTGCTAGGTAATTAGAGAGTAATGTCAATGAAATACATTGAGTTTGATTTTAAATGGTGGTCATAACAGCAGTTTGGTATTTAGCTCAGTTCCCAGTTTTTAAAGCTACTGCCCGCTGGTTCACCTTGCTCAGCTATCTCGATCTCTCTGCGGCCGAAGTCGGCCTGTTTGATGTTTTTGATGCAGAAGTCGCCGTTGCCCTTGGAGTTTTTCTGCTGTTTGTCACGAGGAGATGTCTCGTCATCAGAGCTGTCCGTGTATGATGCCGCTGCAAACAAACACACACACGCATTGTCAGCATGTCAACACATCACATAGGAGGCAAAATATTACCGCTGTAACCAAAAACAAAACAAAAAAAAAAAGTTGTAAACTGAATCCATGTTTAAGCACAGAATACACTGAATGTATTCTGTACCTAAACATGGATTCTCTCAGCCTCTGGTTTCATCAGAATACATTAAACTCAAATGTGCAACTTGAATTTGTTAGCCTACAGATTTCAGGCACCACAGGCTTTAATTTATCATAGGGCTGCCAGCCAAACTTTTCCCACTAAGAGCAAAACTAGCAGCTTTATCACCTCTGACTGAAGCAGAAAGTAAACACAGGATGTTATTGGACTTAAGTATTTACACTTGGATATAAAAAAGAAAACATGTTTGAGTAGTATCACTGGACCTGTGATATAAACAGTCATATGCACAGTCTGCACTTTGCATTATTGTGTGGTTTCAAATGTACTGTACATTTCTATACATGGAGGTGCACAGGGTGTACTCCTCCATGAGTACAAATGGTGCATGATGCCAACATCACACAGGCCTTTAAGTGCAGACAGGAAAACAAAGGTTTGAGGGTGTAAGAGGATATCCCGAATCCAATTCTTCAAGTTTTAGTTCATTACAAACAATCGATATTGATTAACAATAGCGTCACCTCATGTCCGGGGGTAACACCCATGAATTCAAGACAATGTCTGTGCTGTGTTTTTGGCTGTACATGTAAATGATATCCTTAGAGAAAGTTCCAAAGATTTTTTTTTAACCTGGCCTTCTTTGGGAAAATCTATGAAATTCTATGCAGAGTGCCTAAATCAGGTAAAAGCTGATGAAGTAAAACATGATTAGTGAGTTGATTTGAAATAGTAAAAAAAAATTTAAAAAAATCTAAATGCCCAAAACTGAAAAACAAATCATCTATCAATGAAAAAAAAAAAAATACTCTTCCGTCCTACTTCCAAAACACGTTGGGACAAAACCAGGTGAGGGGAAAAAGGTTTTGCATGATGAAGTTCTTCTCAAGAAACACAAAAACTAAAAAAGCTTAAAAACATCCAAACTAAGAAGCCTTAGCCTCGATCTGCTTTACAGTGGCTATAAACTTCAGCTACATGTTAACTTTACCTGGAACCTGTACTGTCATGACATTATTTACAATGTACTGTAAATGTGTTGGTTCTGCTTTACAGACTAGGACCACCAGCTTTAAAAAGAACCCTAATTAAAGGATCCTAAACTAAAGTGGTTCGGGGGAAGCTGTGTGACTGGTGCTTGCTGTAGTCTCTGTACTGTGGGAGCCATCAGAGAAATCAGAATCACTCCAGTCAGGGAATTATGAGGAAAGACAGGGAATCAGCCGAGGAGGAAGAGCGGGGAAAAAAAAGCAGCACAAGGATTCTGTACTGGAGTCTGAAACCAGGCTCTGAAACATGTCAAGGAGTTCATAGTGATTAAGGTGTTAACACAGGGATCCAAAGATGTGTGACAGAGACGCCTGCTGAATGAAATAAAAGCAGACTAAGTGCACTCCTCATTATCTCAATATCTTGAAGAAAATGCAGATCATTTTTTTAAGTGGTGATGTGAAAGCCCGAGGCAGGAGCGAGAGGTTCCTGGGGACTCTTGAGCTGGTTAGGAGGGGAGATAAAGCGCTGTGCTAGAGAAGAAAAAAAAAACAAAGTGAAAAGAAAGAAAAAAGAAGTTATGATTTAGTGGTAGGAGACTGGGATAGATCCAAATCACACACCAGAGAAAAGTGCACAAGTGTGCAGTTTGGAGCTAAAAATGAAATTCAGAGCTGATTTTTTTTTTAAGACAACTTAATGTCTCAAACAGGAAGAAAGAAAGGGAAAGAAACACAATGTCGCCTTCTCAGCTGACCCCAACAAGCGCCTATGAAAACACAGAGCTGTCTGCAAATGTGCCAGTGGGAAGTTACAGAGCCGAAACGCCTCATCTTCTCTGAATAAAAGTACTGATGCAGGGGCTTTTCTTCTTCTTTAGCACCCCTGACCTGAGGGATCCATTATGCACATGCACTAATACTGACTGACAGTCCATGTGTCCGTTTGCCATCCATCTGTCCGTCCTAGCACCATCATGCAGATTAATTCATCATGTTAAATGGTGTCGTTTAAAGTTATGTGGCCCGTGACTCTGACACACAGCAGGACATCAAAAGAGCCCGAGTCCAAGTGGCTTATGCAATATCGCATTTAAAAGCGACTGATAACTGAGAAGGAAAGAAAAGCCAGGATTATAGTGACTGATTTATAAAGAACCTTTGCTCCCTTGTCCCTTCTTGTTTTTGTGGTATTTGAGCAGAGCCATGTTAACCATTTCCAAATATACAGGAGTGTCGCATCAATCTACTCAAACTATGGCTACAGCAATCAGTTATATTAGTGATCAGTATTTGAGACCTCTACATCATCAGTGTGACCCATTTACTCCTAACTTGAACCACCTTATGTGCTTTTATTCGTTAAATTAATTCTGGATGAAAGAAAGCAAAAGATTAAAAAACATTTTTTAAACAACCACGTTTTTCAAGTTTCTCGATAAATCGTTGCAGCTTGAACTCAAACTAATCATACACAGAGTGTATTGTCTCCAAATCACTCAGCCTGTCTCTCCTGGTTACTCCCAAAGAAAATCATAACATCATGACAATGCATACTTAAACCAAATTTACAAAACAAAGAAACCCCTTATCTATACATACAATGAAACTTGTACTGTAAGACTTAAAACTACACCTTACAGTTGCTGATACTAGCTGCCAGCTAAAACTCTTTTTAGACTATTGGCATATTTATCTTTACCAGCTTTCCAGTTAATCACCAATAGGGCGGTGGTTTGGCTCTCCCATCCTATTTGGTTTCAGCCACACCCAATGCTTCAGCACCTGCTAATCCTCTAACACAGGGCCCACAGTTTCACATAAACCCAGGGTCAGAGTGTGAGAAAGAGTGCTAGAAACACAAGGACAGAAGTGGTAGATAAGTCCAGTCAACCATTCATCCAGGTGGAACTCAATGGAAAATTTAACATCCCCCTGGAATATCAGATAAGCAGCAAGGTAAAGTGATTGAGTAACAGGCTATAGTTTAAGACAGGAATGCAGGTATGGCGAAAGAGAGACACTGTGATGAAGTCTGCACTATATACTTAAACAAACAGGTCATTTTAGTCTATTTACTTTGTGCTGTAAAGACACTGCTTTAATCTGTAGATGTCTGTGCCAACAAGGCTTGCACGGCCCTGCTATATTTTGTTCAGTGTTTCTTCCACCACTGCTTGCAACTTCCCAACAAGGCCGACTTTATTTGGCTCAGTGCGAGAGCCTCTACCATGCTACCAACTTTCAAGTCTCACTCCTGTGCTCTTTGTTTCATGAGGACACAAACTGAGAAGAGTGGAGCTGAGCAGGTAAGGATAATGTTACTTGAGTCGATGACAAGACATTACTGTGAGCACACTGACACCAAAAATAATAGCTATCATAATCAGGATGAGTCACCCAAACATAAAATCATTCTGTTTACCTGAGCTGTAGCTGTCTGTGGAGGACTGGGAGATGGAGCGGGACAGAGAGCGCCGTCCGATCTTGGAGGGACGCTTGTTGAACTCCTGTTTCTGGTCTGCAAACTGGATCTGTTGGTGGAGAAGGAGAGCAGAAACATTCAGGCAATCTGAATTGAGCTTTGAAAAATGTATTTAAATAAAACTATTCACAAACAGGACTCACAAAGCAATTTGAAAGCCAGGAAAAGAAAACTTTGCATCTTTAATAAACTGATCGCTTTTTAGCTCAGGTTACTCTAGGTTCATGTTAAGCTCCTGATTAAGAGAATGCTATCCTGAGTGAAAAATGTTTTACAGATAAGAGAAGATCAATAAAATAGATAAATAAGACAGGCAATAAACAGAGAGAGAACAAGTTCACTATAGTCTCTGAGGAGGGAGACTGCCTTTGAGTTCACTCTGACTCTGAAAGATAAAAGAGACAATGAGGCTATTATCAAGCAGTGACAAGGCCACGCGAGGTGCACCAGTTCATTCTGGTTCTGTGAAAATGAGCGGGATGTGTTTGGCTATTTCCCGCTTTCAGGACACTAAACTGACCATGAGCCTATCTTTCAGTGTTGCATTAAAGCCAATGACTTGGTGCATCATAATTCATCCAGTGATAATATTACAGCACATGAATGGCTGACTTATTCCTACAATAAAGCCACACGACAAGAACAAAAACTGCCAGTGTGTGTGTGTATATGCATTAAAACCTCTTTTTATTAGTCAGGTTGCTTTTATTAAATGAGCAATAATGGTGTCCATAAATTCATAGAAAGAAAGGCTTTTACATTGCCACATGGATGTCTAATGGATGTTGCACAAGGCAAAAAAAAAAAAAAAAAAAGCAGCTGAAAGAGCATCAGTTCTTTGAGCATGTACTCATTTTTAAATAATTTTCATCCTCACAAAAAGATGTCCTGAAAATTTTCAGGTTCTGTCTGTGTGTTGGTGTGTGTGTGTGGTTGGTGTGTGTGTGTGTGTGTGTGTGTGTGTGTGTGTGTGTGTGTGTGTGTGTGTGTGTGTGGACCGTGAGATCAAAGGCGCGCGCGCATGTACGAGTAAAATACCAGGAGGCTTTGTATGTATTGACTTATTTATTCTCATAATGTGTGGAGACATTCGGTAAATCTCATGAGCGAGAGCTGCTGTTCACTCTACGATCTGAAATCATCAGCAATATACACATTTCCCCCATTTTTTGCTTTGTGATCTCTGAGGCATTTCTTAAGTAGAGCCCAAACCCTGGTGATTCAGCCTGGAGAATGTGCACCTTAATAAACAGGCATGGAAAGGAAAGCAATGCAGCATTAAAGCTCTCAGAAAGCCAAACTGCACATGCAGCTGGGCAAGTTAAATAGTTAAAACTCATCACAAATTATCTGGTTAGGATGCTAGCTGATTAGCTGAGCATTTCTCCTTCCATTTCAATTCCACCCAAGCACCGATACTCTCAATATCATTTTAATCTCAATAAATAACACGTCATAAATCAGACTAATCCACTTCTCATCCATTCTCCTTACCTTTTTCACACAGCGCTCACTGCTCTCCCCACTCTTTTCCTTCTTCAACATTGCCACGTGTGTGTGTGGGACGAACTGCCAAGTACAGTGCGTGTTTGATTCAGGGCCTTGTGCATTGACGGGACATCTTTCATCTTTCAATGATCATTTCAGTGGCTGCACCTCTTGCCCTCTGCCTCTTTTTAGCCTTTCCTTTTCTGTAAACCAGCCTAAACCGCTCTGCCCATGTGCCAACAACACAATGCAATGAATTGTTTTCCCTTCCTTTCATTTTTTCCCCCCTTCCCTCTCTCCTACCTCAGTATTCTTGTTTAATTGTCAATTGTTCAAGCGCAGGCTGAATCGCTGCCATGAAAACTAAGCTTTGCCCTTGCTGACCCAAGACATGTAGCCCACAAACTAAGAGCATTAAGAAAGGAAGCAGTGATAGAAAAGGACTGGAATGAGCCATCTATACATCCTTATAAACTCTCTTAATGAATGGAAATGCTCATTAGCATACAGAAGAAGAGGTTAGGTTAAAAACTACAGTGATTACAGTTAATCTTGAAAGGAAGTAATTTCGATTGATCCTTTGAGCTCCACTCTTATCAGCACTGTGATTAAAAATGGCCATCATACAAGAAGATAAATAAATAAAAATATGAGGATTAAACTGTTGTTCTTTGGAACATAGAAGATTCCAAAACAACACAAGCAGAACAAGTCAGAACTGCTGCTTTATGTTATTTACAAGGGCAGCCATTGGTTCAAACATCGCTGACCTCATGCAACCTGTAATGGGTATGCTGGTCTCGAAAGTTTATTGGATGGGAGATTAAATGAGGGGCTTTAAGAGCTCAGAGTTGCACTGAAGGATTGCAGGTCATTTTAGGAGCTGGGGATAGAGGGCTTATTGGATGTTTTTTGGGACAAGATTACCACAGGGCACAAAGGAAACAGGGGCTACTGCCAGAGAGAATGGCACAGTGGTTCACTTATTCCTGTGTAAAATGAGAACAAGCAAACAGCATGAGAAGAACAACCCAAACGTAACCCATTCAGTTCTGATTTCTATTCCCTAGCTAATCTTTGAAAAGCACAGAATTAACAGGGTTTTTATTACTAAGGTATGGGGTAAGCATTGTCTAAAAGCTATTAAAACTCCTTTCCATTAAACGCATACTATATGAATGTGAATCAGTGAAAACTGTCACTTTTCCATCGCTGGCACACCTGCAATCTTATCAGTGTGAATCCAGTAATATTTATGCATCACTTCTACCATAGCTCAAGTCTATTAATCCAGTGCATGCATTAACAGACAGCCATGCAAAAATTACAAGTGTACATAGTCAAGTTATAACATATGTCTCTGAGCTCGAGTCTCAATCAGAAATCAGATCTCTCACTCAGAGACTGGGTGCGAGGGGCAGGATCATAAAATTCAAAGTGGCTTATATGTGAATGACACAGCACCATTTATAGACCAATTCTGCTTGCAGTGCTAAACACCTCATCTGTGAGAAAAGGTTTAAATCTGTATTTCAGCTTGTGGCAATAAAAGTCTGCAAATAAACTCAAAGTAATGAATGAGCTGGTGCTCATCCGCGTACAATAACCC